TATACTAGTTTTAATCCATGTGTAAGGATCGAATGGCTATAAGAGAGGATGAATTAAGGCTCCAAAACTCAAAATAACAAATCTTAACCTAATCAAACTACTTTACCCCTAGGCATGAACCACCTCTACAACTGCCAAAAAAAGGAAACCAAGGTGAGTCCTTAGGGACACCAAACTAAGCCATGTCCTTAGAACACACTAGCAAAGGTCCTTAAAGAAGTTGCAAGAAAATAACCTAGCTAGTGCATCACACTAAGATAAAACCAAGTCTAGCAAAATATTCACACAATGTCTCACCGCATACAGAGTACATTTTGATGCATTTGGCACGAAATTCAGTTTTTCCATGTCATGACAATGCTTAGATTCGGCGAATTTAAGGGGGAAAGTGCATGTTAGGCCTGTATATTGGGAAACGTCATCTATCAAAATGGATGAGAGGCATGAAACGACAATTGTTTTGTGTTTACTTGATAAAGGCACAACATATTTATAAAATATTAGCATTTGCCTTCGATAAGATATGTTTCTCATTTTATATATATAAGGTAGGGTGGCTAGTCCCTCCTATTTTGTTTTCAGCAAAAGTTATTTTTTCTCGGTTTGGTCCTGTGGTGATTGCCATGTGTGGCCATGTGGGGTTGGGAAATAGAGCAAAAGGGAGGTAGATATGGAAGCTCAAACTCACTAATAATATACCTATGAGGTAATATAAAGGCGGATATTGTTTGTAGAAATTTTCAACTAAATTTTATACATGTCTAGATCATCATTTAATAAAACTTGGAGGGTACCATGTCACATGCAAATATTGATATAACATAGTAAATAGAACCAAAGATTTTTTTTCTTTCCACTTATCATCTTCTCATTCATTAAAATCGTAGAAGTTCTCCATTCGTTTTTAGATGGAGGGGCTGCCTACATATTACTCAATTATTTTTTTTAAGTCTCAGTTAGTGTTCAGACCAAGAGTTAGAGGACGACTAATTAATCAACTATATTTTTGTGCAAACACAGGCAAATAGACTTTTCTAGACCACAACCTAATTTTTTTACTTCAAGTGATAGTAACACTTGTTTGACATTTTTTGGAGTCCAATCAATTCTTTTTTTTAGCAATATCAAAGGAAGACACAGACAATATCATGGCTAGATAAACAAAACCAAATAGTCCACAAAATTGTGGGTAGCAGGGTCATTTGGCACAGTCCAAGTCCTTAATCGGCAAAGGAAAAGAAACCGAGGAATGCAAACTCTAACACGCATCCCCTTGGTCACTACATGCATCCTTGGTGAGGATGTTGTTTATGCACTAGGGAGGAAGAGGTTCTAGATTCAAGACTAGATGAAGCTGTGTTTTTTCATGAAGCAAGTGTCGATTGCTTTGTTGAAGATTCCCGAATATTGCTCACTAGATGATATGCTACGACTACTAAAGTACACGGCAGATTGTACGGTTCACATAGGTAACCTTGTCCAAGTGGAACTAGCCATTACCATAGTTGCCTACGCTCGTTGATGAACCCTTTGACTATTGCTTCCACTTTGTGGGAGTTGTTTGCATTGTCTTCTTGCTCGACATCTTGAACATCGTTGATCCTTCAGGATGCCACTACCTTTACATAAGGTGCCATCTTTACACTCGAAACTTGACTTCAGAGTTTAAGCTTTTTCAGAGGTGGAACATTTAGTTTTTCTTTGTTTAGTTGGAACCTATATAAGCACTTCTTTTACTCCTAATTTTTTATGGCTTTGGTATCTCATGAGCCAATTTCTGTGGAGTGACGACCTGATTCTTTCACTCTCTTCTTTTGGCATCGCAATGTGTAGTTTCTTATGCCATATATGCTTTCTAGGTCTATTGCTATTGATGGCGATTAAGAAGAGGGCCTTCAATATGGCACACACATGTCGAGAACAGAGGGCACAAAATGTCCTCTAAGGATGGAAACAACGCATGGTCCTTCTTACTCTTCCTACACCTGCATATTTTTCATTTAACTTTCATACTTCCCATTAGCAAGTTATTTAGTTTCCTATTTCAAAAATTGAAACTCTCTACTGACATGTCAGAAACTTCTACTAGCTATTTTGCGCGCCCGTCCAAAACTTTGGACTTGAAATTGAACAACTTTGCACTAGTTATCTTTGTGTCATGGGAACAACATCATCTTAGATAAATGGGACACTATTGCTATGTGTAGATGGAAATATCATTTTGAGATGAACTTGGAGTACTCTTAATCCAGGGACAATTCATAAAAAAGGTATCACCTATTTTTTAGACAATGAAAAAGAATATTTGTCTTCATCCTCACAGATGAGGAATCGGTACAAAAGAAGATTCATACTCTACCGTTCACGAGGCTCACACATAAAAGGGAAAGACCATCCATGAGAGGCAAAAAAGGCAAGTTTCTCCCAATAGAGAATTAGCTGTCATCACTAATTGTTCGGCGCTAGTGATTTGTGATGCCAATCCGTCCTCGATCTCATGGTTTACTTGTTTTCGCTGAGAGAGCAAAAAAATCTTTATAATTAACAAGAAGACAATTGTGCCACTGCCCACACTGGCTCTCACTAAAATGTCTAATTACCTGCCATGGCCCCCAAGTAGTGATCTTATTTTGGCATGATTTATTGGCATATAAACCTCACGCTAAGGCCATGCTGAACATGTTTCACTAGGAGCCTTGGCCCTTTGGAGAAGCTGAGACACGTCCTACCCCTCCGAACTTGTGAAATGAAAAGGTGGATGTGTACTGTGTAGGACACGCTTGTAAGACAAGCGAAAACAAGTAGACAACCAGAACACAACAGCATCCGAGGCTCTTCTTCTCGTACAAAAAGCTGCTTTTTAACATGCAGAAAGGCCCTAAATTCAGGGCAATACAATCCGACTTCATCCTTACAAATGAGGAATCAGACAATGCTTATTATTACAAAAGAAGATTCACACTCACTCTAAGTTCACAAGGTTCACAACACACGAAAATTCAAAAACATGATCCTAATAAATGCGAAAGGCCATCCATGAGAGGCAAAAAAGGCAAGTTTCTCCCGGTAGAGAATTAGCTGTCATCACTAATTGTTCGGCACTAGTGATTTGTGGTGCCAATCCGTCCTCGATCTCATGCTTTACTCGTTTTCGTTGAGAGAGCAAAAAAATATCTTTATAATTAACAAGAAGACAATTGTGCCCTTGCCCACACTGGCTCTCACTAAAATGTCTAATTATTGACCACGGCCCCCAAGTAGTGACCTTATTTTGGCATAATTTATTGGCATATAAACCGTCACGCTAAGGCCACATTGAACATGTTTCACTAGGAGCCTTGGCCCTTTGAGAAGCCGAGACACATCCTACCCCCTCTGAACTCGTGAAATGAAAAGGTGGATGTGTACTGTGTAGGACACGCTTGTAAGACAAGCAAAAACAAGTAGACAACCAGAATACAACAGCATCCGTAGCTCGTCTTCTCGTATAAAAGTCTGCTTTCTAACATGCAGAAAGGCCCCAAATTGAGGGCGATAAAATCCGGCTTCATCCTTACAAATGAGGAATCGGACAATGCTTATTACAAAAGAAGATTCACACTCACTCTCACGTTCACAAGGCTCACAAACATGAAGGTTAAAAAAGGTGACCCTAAAAGCGAAAGGCCATCCATGAGAGGCAAAAAAAAGGCAAGTTTCTCCCAGTAGAGAATTAGCCGTCATGATTGATTTATCGACGCTAGTGATTTGTGATGCCAATCCATCCTCTATCTCATGTTTTACTCGTTTTCATTGAGAGAGCAAAAAAATCTTTATAATTAACAAGAAGACAACTGTGCCCTCTTGCCCACACTTGCTGTCACTAAAATGTCTAATTACTGACCACGACCTTCAAGTAGTGATCTTATTTTGGCATGATTTATTGGCATATAAACCGTCACGCCAAGGCCACGCTGAACATGTTTCACTAGGAGCCTTGGCCCTTTGGAGAAGCTGAGACACGTCCTACCCCCTCCGAACTCGTGAAATGAAAAGGTGGATGTGTACTGTGTAGGACGCGCATGTAAGACAAGCGAAAACAAGTAGACAACCAGAATACAGCAGCATCCGATCGAGGCAAGTCTTCACGTATGAAAGGCTGCTTTCTAACATGCAGAAAGAGGCCCCTAAATTCAGGGCGATAAAACGTAAAAGCGACCAGAAACAATATGTAAAAAGCCTAACAAATAACAATGGGAAGAGCACACGGTACTACCATGACTCACGAGAGAGAGCGAGCGCTGGGTAGAAGATCCAAATACGGAGGCTTTCTTGGACGTGGATGCAAATATGCGAATGATGGATGTTTTGGCAGGCACGTAAATGACTCCATCACACCACGTACTACACGCCATTAATGGAGTTTCTACTGAACATAATCAGCACCATCGAACGAATTCAACCCTGCCTGCGGCCTGCCAAGGATGGACGTCGATCTCTCGATCTTGCAGATAGCATGCGTACCGGCCGTCCGCCCGCGCCACAAAACAAAAGACACCGGCCGGACGCCATCTCTAACCCCGCGTGAACCATGCATGGCACTGTGCATGCCTGCATGCAGGATGACGACGACTAGAGTTGACTGATGCCTGCGCTTGCGGCGTCCTCGCTAGCTCTTCAATCGTGCAAGCCGCCAAGCTCTCGATCATGGCGATTGCCAGAAAAATGAGGGTCGATCGATCTGCGCAGGGAAGAAACAAAAAGTACCGATCGATTTCGAAACCAAAGAGTCTCATGTTAATACAGAAGCAAAATTAAATTAAGTTTAGGAATTGAAACAGTACAAAACATGGTCCGATCCATGGGATGTCCAGATTATTGAACGCGAATTACACGACGAACGGTTTCTCCGGGGAATTAAAATGCTACTACAACATGAAAAGATACAACAAAGGAACGACGACGGCAGTAAACAAACTGGCACGCCCTTTTGACGAGCTAGCTGATGCCGCTGTCAATGCTCAATGGAATCTGGCCAGGTCGAGAGTGACATCGTCCTCCGACGGCGTCAGGAACTCCCTGGAGGCCATCTGAACGACGTCGACGTCGTCCGGAACGGCGGCGCCTCCTGCATTGCTCGGCCCGGCACCTGCTGCGTCGCCTCCGCCGCCGTAGGCGGTGCTGGCATGGTGGGCGCCGAACGACGACTGCCACATGATGTTGTCGACGAAGGGGTAGGTGATCAGGTTGGCGGCGGCGTAGGAAGCAGCAGCAGCCTGGTGGTGGTGGTGGCGATCATGCTCCATCATGTGCGTCCCCATCGGAGCCATGAGCTTCATCGTCGGCGCGGCGCCGTAGTAGGTGTTGAGGTCCAGCTGCAGGAACGGCGCCACGGCGTCGGAGTTCATCGCGCCCAGGTTGGCCAACGGCGGCGCGGACGACGACGACGCGCCCAGGTACAGCCCCATCGCAGTCAGCTGGTCGAAGACGCTGTTGGCGGGCCGCCGCCGCGGCGGCAGCAGCAGAGGATTGTGGACTGCTGATCACCTCGCCGCCGTACGAGTACGACCCGAGGTTGTTGTAGGACGACGGAGGGGAATCCTCCTCCGGCGGCGGGGTCGGGGCGGCGCCGTCGGCGAGGTCAGGGTACACGCTACGGATGTACTCCTCGAGGATGGACCACTGGCCGGGCGGCACCTGCTGCGCGTTGTTCTTCTTCTTGAGGCGGCGCTTGGCCTTGAGGCTTCGCTTGGTGGCGTTCCAGTGGTTCTTCACGGCGTTCTCCGAGCGCCCCGGAGGAAAGTGGCAATGGTCGACCAGTGGTTGCCGCAGCGCTTGTGCGCCTTGATCAGCGCCATGTCGTCCTCTTCGGTCCACAAGCTCTTCTGTTAATCGTTGCAAGTCAGAGATCGACCGATCGATCAGTATTAGCGTATGCAGATGCACAGAACAAAACAAGCAAGCGGTGCATATACGGCAGCTCAAAAGATCGAAATAAAGCACAAGGTTAATCGATTTTGCTTTTGCAACATCAGAATGCCCATCGGTGCAGTGGTCACGAACTCAGAACATCCATACATCAAAATAACTTGGCACATGCATAACCACAGATAAGAAATTAAAGATTCTCTCCACGCAATCAATTCGTGGCTTTATTTGATGAAGAATTGCCACAGTTAGTGGCCAGAGTAAAAACACATGCAAAGATGTACTGCTCCCACTAATTTCTTACCGAGTTAATGCCCACTTTCGAATCTAGACCAAAATTTAGCAGGATTTATACGTAGAAATTAAAGGCAAAGGAAATTCCCTCGCGGATCATGTGGGAGAGCGAGGGATATCGTTCCCCAAACCAGCTGCTACACACTACTGCACACAGATCGAATTCAAGCTTCCAAGCATCAAGATCTGTCCAAGACAAAGATCGAACGAGACGAGGACAGATCGATCGATCGATCGATCCAGGAAAATAATATGCACCTTGAGGTCGGGGCGCAGGTGGTGGTCCATCCATCTCGCGGCACTGCTTGCCCACCCGGCCGGGGAGCGACTGCGATATCACCGCCCACTTCCGGTCGCCGTGCCTCATCACCATCTCCCTGAGGATTCTGCAAGCCAGCGAGCACGGATCGAGCAAACGAGCACCCACGCAGCAGCACAAGTTCAGCATCAGCCACGAGCAAACACTTTTGCATCGAATCGAACCAAAAAGAAGAAAAGAAGCCAAATCAGAAGAACTCAGGAGTCAGGACTCAGGAGCACTCACACGTCCTCCGCCTCGGTCCAGGGCCCCTTGTGCTGGTGCGCCCTGTAGCCGCCGTTGCCGCCGCCCGCTTGTTGGGGCTGCTGCGGCTGCTTCTGCTGAGCCCCACTCCAGGCAGCGCGCAGAGCGCTGGACATGATGCCGCCGTACCCGTCGGATGTCAGGGCTCCTCCGGGCAGAACCATGCCACGCGGCGCCTGCATGCCGAGGCGGCCGACCAGGAGAGAGGCCATGCCGGCGGACATCGTCATGCCCGCGCCCAGGATCATCTGATGAGCGGCGTTACCTGGGTGCACGCCGCCAGCCGCCACGTCCTGGTGGCCGAAACGCACCGAGCTCCCGGACTCCATTCCCGGCCGACTTGCCTGGTCGAGGCTACGAACAAGGGAATTGCAGAGGCCCCAGCTAGAATTTCTCTGCTGGGGAGAGAAGGGGGGCAGGAGGAAGAAGCAGCAGGGAGAAGAAAGGGCCACGCCGGGCTTGCAAGTTGCAAGTGAGGAGTGGGCCTTCCGATCCGGGGTGCACGATATATAGCCGGGCCCGCGCCGCCACTGCCGTCCATCTTCGGCGCATCCAACGGTCAGCGGCCATGCTGCGGGTGACCTTCCAACTCTCCCTTAATATTCGTGCGGAAGAGGACAGGGGAAGTGAGGTGGCTCCTTGTCACCACTCCACAAGTCCACATCACTGAGCCTAGCCTATGCGCGCAACGTGGGAAGCGCAGGAGCAGCGGTATGGGCCCCACCTGTCAGCACTGGTACACATGTCTTGGCCCGGCTGGTTTTTATTACAGTGGATGGATATATAGCTGCAGTATGGATATACAGCCGGTCAATAGCATGGGAGCAGATTTTGTTCATCCTGCTGGTCTTGGACACAGTTTGCACCCCGGAGCAAGGTACTAATGCAGGGATTGTTGATCTGTTGGCTAAGAAAGAAAAAACCCTGCATGGGAAGTATATTTTGATGCATTTGGCGTAAAATCCAGTTTTTTCGATATCACGACAACGCTTAGATTCGGCGAATTTAAAGGAAAAAGTGACCGTTAGGCCTGTATAGGGGGAAACGTCATGTATCGGAACGGATGAGAGGCGTGAAACGACAATTGATTTGTGGTTACTTGAAAAAGCCACAATGTATTTATAAAATATAAGTGTCCGCCTTCGATAAGGTATGTTCGCCATTTTATTTAACGTGGGGCGGCTAGTCCCTCCTATTTATTTTAGCAAAAGTTCTTTTCCGTCGGTTTAGTCAGATATGGGAACTATAAGTCATCAATGATATATCCGTGAGGTAATATAGAGGCAGATATTATTTGCAAAAAAAATTGAAATATATTTTATAAATTTCTAAATTACACTTAATAAGACTTAGAGGGCATTATTGTGCAAAGCAAAATATTGATATGATATAGTAAGTAGAACCAAAGATTTTCTGTTCTCAAACCTAATCATCTTTTCATCCATTAAAACGGTAAAAGTTCTCCGATCATTTTTATGGGGGAAAGGAGGCTGCCTAGATATTACTCAAATATTTCCTTTTCAAGTCTCAGTCGGGTTTTATCTGATGGCTATAAGAGAGAAAAACACTACACGGGAAGTATATTTTGATGCATTTGGCGTGACATTCAGTTTTTCCATGCCTTGACAACGCTTAGATTCGGCGGATTTAAAGGAAAAAGTGCCCGTTAAGCCCCTATAAGGGGGAAACGTCATGTATCAGAATGGATGAGAGGCATGAAACGATAATTGATTTGCGGTTACTTGAAAAAGCCACAATATGTATTTATAAACTATTAGTGCCCGCCTTCGATAAGGTATGTTTGCCATTTTATATAATGTGGGGGGTGGCTAGTCCCTCCTATTTGTTTTAGCTAAAGTCCTTTTCCGTTGGTTTAGTCCTGGCGATTGCCATGTGTCCACGTGGGTTTTGAGAACAGGGCCTATGACGTAGACCTTATTTTTGGAAAAATTTGGACACTGGTTTCAAATTTTTTTGAATTTTCTATGAATTTTCTAAGATTAATTCATCTTCTGAAAAAGAAAAAGGGAAGAAAATACTTAGAGCTACCATGTGGCGCTCTCTGATTGGCTGACGGCTCAACGGTCACTGACAGGTAAGGTCCGGAATCTACCATCACTGACAGGTGGGGTCCGGGTCAATGGTCAACGTTGACCGATCAACGGTCAACATAGACCGGGCTTGGTGGGCCAGGTCGCAAGCCAGTCTGGGCCGGACCGGGCCTAACACGCGTTGGGCGCTTGGCTGGTCATGTAGCGGGCTCAGCTCATGGAGCTGGCCTACGGTGGACCAAGGCGTGGTACACCGTGGACCACTACTGGTCCACAGGGAACTGGGTTCACGCAGTGCCTGTACGCACGGTGCACCGGGTGCACCAACAGGAGAAAAAGGGGGAGAGGGCTCCTATTCCTTTGCTCCTAGGTGCTCAATATGCATGGCTCCAGAGGGCTCACCGACGATGATGTCGCGCGATGGGGCTCTTCCACAGTCTCTAGGGGCTGATCCTATGGCCTCTAGAGGCTCACACGCTCTCTGATGAAGGCGGCGAGGGGCGAAAGATGGCAGCTTGGGGCTCGGTGGTGGCGCTCATGGCGATGGTGGTGTAGATGCTCGTGCGGGCAAGGTTGTTGTGCAGCCCTAGCCTTTGATTTGGCATTAGATGTGTTTAGGGGTAGGCTAAACTAGCGGCGTCGACGACAATTTCACAGGACGGAGTCCGCCCCACGGTATGGCTTGTGGTGGAGGAATGGCTGAGGCACGACTACGACGACCAGCGGCTAGCGAGGGTCCTAGGGGCTAACGAGCACATGGCTAGGTGCGCTAGGACACAACGACGATGATCGGCCCCTCCTCAACTCGCGAGGGGGTCAATATCGGTGGGAACGACCGCATCACGGTGGTGCCATGGGTGCGCGACAGCACCGGCATTGCGAACACGATTGGGTGACCTAGGGCCTCTCTACAGTTGCGTTCAGGTGCTAGAGATGTTCTTCGGTGAGGCGGACCTCGCCGTTCTAAGGTCTCTACCGGCCTGGCTTGGCCGGAACGAGGGCTCACCATGGCGGCGGCATTCCAGGGCCCTAGTGGCCCTGCGCGGTGCTGCCAGCACTGGCATCGCGTGCGGGTGTGCGTGCTATGCTTGGTGCTTGCCAAGATCCAGCCGTAGGGCCTCTCAGGTGGAGAGACCATGGTGGCGGCCATGGTGATGTCCACTTAGGTGAACAGAGGGATGTAGAGCAGCTCACTTGGGGCTCAAGGGGGGAAAGGCTAGCGGTGCAGTTACAAGGCGGGACAGTGGCAAGATGAGGCCATGCAGTGTCGAGCCGCTACACTATTGTAGACGATCGAGGCAGCATCCTCGCTCTAGTGGCTCTCGGCAAACTCCGGTGAGCTCGATCTCCTCCTCCTCCTCTCCTCTAGGCTTCCTTCAAGTGTGAGTGGGCTGTGCCACCAAGAGCAGCAGGTGGTCTAGGGTTCAGACAGGCTTGAGGCGGGGGATTTTATAGGCGGCGGTAGCTATGGCGTGGTGGTGGATGAAACTTGGTGCTCAAGGGACACGTGTAAGGGGATCTAGGGGCTAGATCTAGGGTTTGGGGTGCGTTAGGCTCGCATGCATTTCAAATTCGCAAATTGGAGCGATGGCATCCAAAAGCAAAAAGGCGGGCTACATGGCGACGTCATCGTGGCAAAGGCCACAGCGATAGGCGTCATCGCCTCTGCTGCGCCAACGAGGTGAGGGCATGGATCATGATGTGGTAGGCATCTAAGGGATGCATGAGGCGGGAGTAGGGCACGGACGACAAGGATAGAGGGGCTCTCCCTCCGATTCTCGCGCGGCGGAGGTGCTCAGTGGAAAAAGGAAAATAGGGGAGAGGGGAAAGGTGGGGATGACAGGTGGGTTCTTAGGGCCCACCTATTAGCCTCGATGAGAGAGAGGAAGGGAGTGGCTCTGGTCTAGCATGGCGCTTCCTCAACTGGGTGGCATAGCACGCACAGGCGCTTTCGGTTGTTCTTGGGTGGCACAACGCGCATGTGCAGTGAGGGGGAGAAGGGGGTGACATGGGCTGGGTGGGCTGGGTCGCGCAAGGGCACGTGAGGGAGGGGAAGCAAGCCGGCTAGGCTGGCCTGGCCATATCCCTTTCCTATTTCTATTTTCTCCCTATTAACTGATACTTGTATACATGTATGCATGTATACTCTACTAGAGGTGGGTCCACTAGGTTATCCTTGTAGGGCTTCGCCATGCTAGGGTCCTAGCACACTAACACAAGACAACTTGTTCATAGAAGTTGATTACTTATTTTATTAACAAGCATAAGACCTATCGGTGTTTTGTAGACTGACTAGTGAATTTATACGAGTGTCGCGCTACTCTCGGAAGACGATGGTAGCATACAAAAGACACGAGGATTCTTACAATGGGAGTGCAAGAATGGTGGAAGAGGTAGGAGATGGAGCTAGAGGTAGAAGATGGACTGCCCGAATGAGAGCTTTTAGAGTCTGGAGATGATGCATGGAGGGGTGCCCTGGCTGCCCTTATATAGAGTTTGGGACCAGGCCACATACAAAGGAGGTTCTCTCGACCGAGGAGGTCATAAGCCTGAGGGAGGGAACCTATCTAACTTGTCTTGCAAGTAATGTCATCTTGTGGTGCACCTCCTGGCGTGGCTGTCGTCATGGTCTTGTGCTCACGTCGTGACATGGTGTGTCGTGGTGCTACTGTGCCGGTTGTGGCGGCATTGTAGGCACGGTGGTGGTTCACCAGCTGTCCCGCGCTACGTGGTCTTGTCGTGGCCTTCATCATCGCCTCCTGATCTTCTAAGGGCGCCGTACAGTAGTTGGTAGCCACCCCTAGGTTGATGATCGTCTTACTGCCTATGGAGTTGGTGGCCACGATCCCGAGCTCCAGGGTCTTGGCCCTTGTTGGCTTGGATGGCCTCCTAAGTCAAGGCCACCATCGTGAATCCCATCCCGTGGTGGGTGGAATTGTACATATGTCTCGTCGGTCCGTATTTGGATGGTGAGTCTCTGTACTGGTCGTCACCACTCAGCGGTGTTGTCTTGTCTTCGTTGCATGGCGTAGGGATGGCGTTCGACCAGGCCAAGGTGACTGCTGTCCCCTCGGTCCTTGCGGGGTCAGTATGGCGTGCCTGCTCTTGTCAGAGCAGGCGTGCTTGGCGAGAATCGATCTCTCCTCGTTCCTCCCAGGGGT